AGGGGGAGAGGGAGAGAGAGGAGGGGGAGAGGGAGAGAGAGGGGGGAGAGAGAGAGGAGGGGGGGAGAGAGAGGAGAGGGGGGGAGGGGGAGAGAGAGGAGGGGGAGGGGGAGAGAGGGAGAGAGACAGAGAGAGACAGAGAGCCCCAGCGGGCCCCATGCCGGCAGCACTGAGCCTGATGCGGGGCTTGAGCTCATGAACCGTGAGCTCAGGCGCGGAGCCGAAACCAGGGGTCAGCGGCTGAGTCACACCCAGGAACCCCTCCTTTTACCTGAGAAGACGGGGAGACAGGTCCCGACCGAAGGAAGCAGGGAGCGATGGGGCGAGCGGCGGAGCCCGCCGCGGCCGCCGGAAGTGACCGGTTCCCCGCCCCCCCTGCGCGCAGGCTCCGGAGGTGCCGCGTGGCGCCCGCCGCCTGCCGGGACCTCGCGGCCGCGCTGACGGCCAGTCCGCACCTGACGAGGATGGACCTGAGCGGCAACGGGCTGGGGCTGCCGGGCGTGAGCGCGCTGTGTCCGGGGCTCGCGCACCCCGCGTGCAGGCTGCAGGCCCTCCGGTGAGTCCCCCGCACCCCCGGCCCGTGCGTGGCCCGCGCCCTCTCCCCGCGGGGCTGGAGGAGCCCCAAGGGCCACGCCCCCGCCCCCCCTTCCTCTAGGCCGGGGCCGCCTGTGGACCTGGACTCCTGCCTCGGACCCTGAGCTTCAGGGAACCCCTGCCTGGCCTCCTTGGACCCCACCTGTCCCGAGTGCACAGTGGGGGGCCCAGGCCACCCTCCCTGGCAGACCCCGCGCCCTGAGGGGTGCGCGCCGAGCCCGTGAGCTCGTGACGCCCGGCCGCCCCGCACGCCCCTCCGCAGCCTCGGAGGCGCCCGCACGCCCAGGTCGTCCCCTGGCTTCTGTCCGACCCCTGCCGCAGTGGGGCCCCCCAAAGCGGCTCTAGAACCCCGAGAAACACGTAGGCTTCGCCGTGTATTAAAGGCTGGGACCAGGGATACAGGTGAACGCGGAGGAAGAGGTGCCTGGGATGAGGCCTGGGAGTGTCTGCCCCCACGGGGCCGGGGTGCGTCACCCTCCTGGTGAGGGCGGTGTGGACGTGTTCACCAGCCTGCATCTCCCAACCACGCGCTGTTGGTTTTTTGTTTTCTGGGTTTTCCGGGGGGGGGGGGGGGGGGGCACAAGTAAGCAAGGGGCAGAGGGAGAGAGAAGGAGAAGTGGGGCTCACCCGAAGCACGACTCAAACCCACCAACCGCGAGATCACGGCCTGAGCCGGTCAGTTGCTTAACCGACGGAGCCCCCCAGACACCCCGCTCTGGGGGTTTTCCGGAGCCTTCTTCCTGTGGCGAGATGGACCAGTAACTCCGTTTCCAGCCTCTCCCTGCTGGAAGGGGGGGGGGCGGGCAACGCTGAAGGTTCTAAACTGTCGTCAGGGCTTGGTCTCTGGTGCCCAGACCCCCGCGAGCCCACCCGTCACAACCAGACAGTCCTAATGTGCCCACACTTGGGAATCACAGGGCTCAGGAGCTCTGTGCTGGGCCCGGGGCAGAGATGAGCATATATGTTCTCTCTTATCTCCCCCCGCGTCTCCTTATCCCAACGAGGGAACTCCTGCTTAGCCTCAAGAACCCGGAGCCTTCCCTAACTGTGCCAAACCTGAGTTAGGTGTTCCCCTCACCACGACCATTTCATTTCATTTCTTTCTCTTCTTCTTTTTTTTTTTCTGTTACAAATAGTTTATTGTCAAGTTGGTTTCCATATTAACACCCAGGGCTCATCCCCACAAGTGCCCTCCTCCACGCCCATCTCCCCCCTTCCCCTCCCCCCTAACCCCCATCAGCCATGGGTTTGTTCTCCGCATTCAAGAGTCTCTCACTGTTTGCCTCCCTCCCTCTCCCCAAGTATTTTCCCCCTTCTTCTCCCCCACGGTCCTCTGTTAAGTTCCTCCTAATCCTGCTTTACGTGCAGACATATGGTATCTGTCCTTCTCTGCATTTCATTTCATTTTTAATGTTTATTTATTTTATTTTATTTTTTACTTTATTTTTAGTGTTTATTTTATTTTATTTTATTTTATTTATTTATTTTTTTACAAATAGTTTATTGTCAAATTAGTTTCTACATAACACTCAGTGCTCATCCCCAAAGTGCCCTCCTCCATGCCCATCCCCCCTCCCCCCCAGTGTTTATTTTATTTTTAACGCTTACATATTTATTTAGAGAGAAAGAGAGAGGCAGAGAGAATCCCAAGCAGGCTCTGCACTGTCAGCACAGAGCCCGACTTGGGGCTTGAACTCACAAATACATGAGGTCGCGACCTGAGCTGACACCAAGAGTCGGACGCTTAGCTGACGGAGCCCCCCAGATGCCCCACCACGATGGTTTATGTAATAAACAGCAGCTCACCGTCTGAGCACCAACTGGGTCCTGCCCCTTCCGTAAATGTTGTCGTCCTCACAACAACCTTAGAAGCCTTGTGACTGCCGTCCTTATTTTACAGGCAGGGAACCTAAGGCAGCGCGTGGACCGTGAGACAGACTTGCAGACAGCTTGCTTGAGGGTGCGGGGCTGGTGAGTGGCAGAGATGGACGCACCCGGGTCTGAGTCCTAGAGACCCCGCCGTGAGCCACGGCACTCTCCTGCCTCCACGGCACCCTCCCTGGACTATAATTGCTTAGCCCTTCGCCTCCTTAGACAGGATGCCCCTGCTGGAGACAGCGGCGTCTCACTCATCTCTGGGCTATGCTGAAGTGTGTAGGCTCCTGTTGGTGAGTCGATGGGCCAGGGCATGAGCCAGGAAAGCAAGATGGCGCCCCCTTTACCGTCTCTTTCCTCCCAAGGTTGAGAAAGTGTCAGCTGGAGGCCAGCGCTTGCCAGGAGATCGCCTCTGTGCTCAGCACCAGTCGGCATCTCGTAGAGTTGGACCTGGCGGGGAATCCGCTGGAGGATTTGGGGCTGAGGTTCTTATGTCAAGGCTTGAGGCACCCAGTGTGTAGACTGAGGATCCTCTGGTGAGTTCTTCATGGGGCCAAAGAAAGAAAAGGTCAGGATGGTAATGTTAAGCCATATAAATGTTTGTTTATTTTTGAGAGAGACAGAGAGACAGAGTGTGAGCAGAGGAGGGGCAGAGACAGAGGGAGACATAGAATCCGAAGCAGGCTCCAGGCTCCGAGCTGTCAGCACACAGCCCGACGCGGGGCGCAAACTTGTAAACTGTGAGCTTGTTTATTTTCTATGAAGAAATGTCTACTCACACTTCTGCCCATTTTCAAACAATGGGTTGTTTGTTTGAAAATGCACTACTTTTAAGATTGGGGTGGAGGAGGTGACATTGGTGTTGTATAGAACACACTCCCAGAATAAACTATTTGTAAAAAAAAAAAAAAAAAAAAAAAAGATTAAGATTTAAGAAGTTAAAAAAAAAAAGAACACACTCCCAGAGCCCGTCGGGTTGGATTTCCTGCAGGCTGAAGATTTGCCACCTCACTGCCGCTGCCTGTGAGGACCTTGCCTCCGTCCTCAGTGTGAACCAGAGCCTGATGGAGCTGGACCTAAGCCTGAATGACCTGGGGGACCCCGGGGTGCTGCTGCTGTGTGACGGCCTCAGGCATCCCCAGTGTAGACTCCTGACCCTCCGGTGAGTCCTGCATTCCTCACCATCATCTGTGTCTGCTCTTCTTCTTCTTTTCTTTTTTTTTCTTTAAATGTTTTATTTATTTCTGAGAGAGAGACAGACAGACAGCATGAGCAAGGGAGGGTCAGAGAGGAAGACACAGAATCTGAAACAGGCTCCAGGCTGTGAGCTAGCTGCCAGCACAGAGCCGTACGCGGGGCTCGAACCCACGAACCGTGAGATCATGACCTGAGCCGAAGTCGGACACTTAACCGACTGAGCCACTGAGGCGCCCCCTGCGTCTGCTCTTCCATCTCACTCTCACTCCCTCTTCTCCCAACCTCTAGCTACATCTGCCTCAAAGATTTTTCTGCCACAGGGCCTTTGCACACACAGTTATTTCTTCCTGGAATACCCTCTTGCTTTGCTCTTCCTCCTCTTTCCCTGAAAACTTGTTTTATCTGTTAGGACTCCATACAAATGCTTCATCCCCACGGATTCCTTCCTTAACCCCTAAGTAAGATCTAGACTTCTAGTTTTGGGATTTAATTTGACCTTACAATTCTCAGCATCACTTTTTTTTTTTTTTTAATTTTGTAAGTTCATTTATTTTGAGACTGAGAGACAGAGAGGCAGACAAAGAATCTCAAGCAAGCTGTCAGTACAGAGCCCGACACAGGCCTTGATCTATGAACTGTGAGGTCATAATCTGACCCAAAATCAAGAGTCAGATGCTTAACCAACTGAGCCACCCAGGCGCCCCTGTCAGCTCCATACTCTGGTGGCTAGTATAGCGCCAGGCTAAGGGGTGTTTAGAAATACATATCTTTTCTTTTTCTTTCTTTATTTAGTTTTTAAATTTTTAAAATTCCAGTATGATTAATGTATTTTTATTTTTATTTTTTTAAGCTTTATTTATTTTTGAGAGAGAGAAAAAGACCGGGCGCTAGTCGGGGAGGGGCAGAGGGAGAGGGAGACACAGAATCCAAAGGAGGTTCCATTCTCGGAGCTGTCAGCACAGAGCCTGGTGCGGGGCTCGAACCCACGAACCATGAGATCATGACCTGAGCCGCAGTCGGAAGCCCAACTGACTGATCCACCCAGGTGCCCCTGGTTAGTATGCTTTTAAATGAGGGAATGGATGAATAAACTGAGGAACAAACAGAAAATACAGAAAGCTGTCAATTTTCAGAAAATCATTTTTCCCTGTAGTCCCAGAGGACAGTCTGTGTATCCTACAAAAGCCTCATCTATTATCTGATGTCATTCATGCTGGAGATTTATTTTATTCTTTTTCTTTCAAGACATTGTGCCCAGCCTGACTTCTACGGCTTTTGTTATGTTTAGAGAAATGCATTTCTTCACATTCTTTTCTCTACCGCATCCGGTCTACACTATCACTATGGAAGCACACACACCTCTGGGTTTTTTTATTTATTTTTGAGAGTGAGAGAGCAAACGCACGGGGTCGGGGCCGAGGGAGAAGGGGGACAGAGGATCCTAAGCAGGCTGTGTGCTGACAGCCTGATGCGGGGCTCGAACGCACAAACTGTGAGACCATGACCCAAGCCAAAGTCAGACGTTTAACAGACTGAGCCACCCAGGCACCCCACCCCTGCCTCTGTTTTAATTGTGTTGCCTTCACTGGCTCCCCAAAGCTCCTCTGTAGGCACTCCTGTCTTTATCTTAACTAAATGATACAACTCAGCAATCTCTCCCCTCCCCCGCTCTGTAACTGAGGATGTGCTCATTGGTGCAGACATATCTAACATTTCCCTTTGAGCTGACCTGCGTTCCATTATTTGCACACACCCATGCCCCTGTCCCCGGCTGTGCTGTGAGAGTCATTCTTGTGTGTGTTCTTTCTTGAACCTTCTAAGATTCCACCCCCATAACCCAGGCATGGAGTCACACACTCAGGCTGAATTTGACATCTCCAACCATCTGAATAGCTCTCTAGAAAGATGGGCAGTTTACACTTCCGCCCGCTATTTAGGAAAAGCTACTTTGCCCGTATCTTTATGGTTATTCAACTTTCTATCTTTAAAACCCTGGTGGGTGTAAAATGTTCTTAAATGGCATTTCAGTGTTGAGTATCTCTTCATGTGCTTATCGGCTTTTTTGGTTTCCCCGTTCTGTGAATTTCCTAATTGTATAATTTATTTATGTCTTTGGTATGTGTTCTATATTTGCCTTGCTCTGCGAATGTTCCCTGTTTCAGATATTAATCTTCTGTTGGGTGTGTATCTTGGAAACGTCTGCCCGGCAGGATCTCAGCCTGTCAAATTGTCTGTGGATGCTTTCGTCAAACAGAAATCTTTATGTTTTGAGGTCAAATCCATATGATTTATATCCTTGTGATGTGTCTAAGAAATCCTTTGCCACGTGCCTGGCTGGCTCAGTCAGAAGAATGTCTTTAAAATTCTGGATCTCAGGGTTGTGAGTTCAAATCCCATGTTGGGTTTAGAGATTACTAAAAAACATAAATACATAAACTCAAAAAAAAAAAAAAGAAAGAAAGAAAGGAAGGAAGGAAATCATTTGCCAGTACAAGGTCAAGGGTGTTCTCAGTTTCTTCTTTGTGTTCACATGTGGGGTTAGGTGGGGTTCAATTTTTTTCTCTCATTTTTCAATGTCATTTAATAAAGTAGGGAAATTCTGTCCTTATTTTATTTTTTTAGTGATTATTTATTTTTTAGAGAGAGAGAGTGAGCGAGAAGAGGCAGGGTGGGGGGAGACAAGCAGGCTCTGCGTTGTCAGCACAGAGCCTAATGCGGGGCTTGAACCCACAAACCATGAGATCATGACCTGAGCTGAAGCCAAGAGTCGGATGCTTAACCGACTGAGCCACCCAGATGCCCCTTTTGCGTTTTCTTCTTGCAAATTTTCAGCTATTCATACACGTTTATTCTGCCATTACATTTTAGAATGTGTGAAAAAAGTTTTTTTAAGTTTATTTATTTACTTTTTCGTAACGTTGTAATGTCTCCTCCTAATGTGGGGCTCGAACTCACAACCTCGAGATCAAGAGTTGCATGCTCTTCTGACTGAGCCAGCCAGATGCCCCTAAAAACACCTCTCCAGTGATCCCTGGGTGGCTCTTACTGGCCGAGGCTAGGCTCTTTCCCTTGTCCAGACACAGCAGGCCAGATGCTTATGTTTACATAGATCTACATGTCCCCCGAGGGAAACACGGACACCCTAGAAGGAAAGGAGAGCTCCGGTTTTCACCCTAGGGGAGCCGTATCTAAGGACAGGCAGGAATGTCTGAAAATTAGAAAAAAAATACTGTACAGTGAAATAGCACTCTTTTTAATGTTTATTTACTTTCGAGAGAGAGAGTGCACGCACGCATGAGTAGGGGAGGGGCACAGAGAGAGGGAGAAAGAGAATCCCAAGCAGGCTTCTCGCCGTCAATGCAGAGCCGGATGTGGGGCTTGAGCTCATGGACCGGGAGCCTAAGGTGGACACTTCACTGACTTAGCCTCCCAGGAGCCTCTGAAATAGCCCATTTGGTTCTCTTAAGCCCCCAGATAGTCTTCCGATTGCAACAGAGCCCACGGACAGTGTGTGGACAGTGGCTAAGCGGACCCCAGCCCTGTGACTTTGACCAGTACACAGCAGCCCACATGTCCTGACAGTGGATAGTGACGGCGTTTTCCTCCCAGCGGCTGTCATGAGGAGCAGATGAGGTTCTGCTTATGAATCACTTGCTGTTGGGTACCTGGCGGGCTCAGTGAGAAAAGCATGCGACTTTTGATCTCATGGTTGTGAGTTTGAGCGTCACATTGGGTGTAGAGATTACTTAAATTAATAAAATTTAAAAACAGAAAGAGAGACCCTTATAAATCACTTGCTGCTATGGGCTCATCTGTATTAAAAAATTCTCATATTGGGGCGCCTGGGTGGTTCAGTCAGTGAAGCGTCTGACTTCGGCTCAGTCATGATCTCACGGTTCGTGGGTTCGAGCCCCACGTCAGGCTCTGTGCTGACAGCCTGAAGCCTGGAGCCTGTTTCAGATTCTGTGTCTCCCTCTCTCTCTGACCCTCCCCTGCTCATGCTCTCTTTCTCTCTCTCTCAAAAATAAGCATTAAAGGGTGCCTGGGTGGCTCAGTTGGTTAAGCGTCCGACTTCAGCTCAGGTCATGATCTCATGGTTTGTGGGTTCGAGCCCCACGTCGGGCTCTGTGCTGACAGCCTGAAGCCTGGAGCCTGCTTCGGATTCTGTGTCTCCCTCTCTCTCTGCCCCTCCTCCATTCAGGCTCTGTCTCTCTCTCTCTCTCAAAAATAAATAAAAATATTTTTAAAAATTAAAAAACATCAATTAAAAAAAGAAACTGGGGAAGGACACAGCTCCCCATTCCAGGGTCTTTGCAGATAACACTGGTTCAGGTGAGTGCGTGCTGGAGCAGGGTGGGCCCCGAATTTGGTGTCCTCACGAAGAAGGGAAGTTTGGAGGCAGACACACCTGGAGGCAGACGCACTGTGAACAGAGGCAGAGAAGCGGTGATGCTTCTGCAGGGCCGGATGAGCTGGTGAGCGTGGGAGGCAGGGGGAGAGGCTGGACCAGGTTCTCAGGGCTGCGGGGGCAGGGGTGGGGGGGTAGGGGCTGGGCTTCCGTCTCCAGAGCCCTGAAGCAGTTTCTACTGTGTGAGGCGCCCATGTGGGAACTTGTTACAGCAGCTGGAGGAATCTGATACACCAGCACCCATCAAATACCCAACTCGTGTTGAATCAGACAATCTCCCTGGATTCCTTCCTTCCTCTTTCCCTCTTTCTTTGTATTTCTCTCTTCCTCCCGTCTTCTCACCCACCTGTCCCTTGCTTCTCCTGTTTTCTGTCTCAGGTGGCGGTGGGTCAGGGGACACTGAGTCCGACCACTGCCCTGCACGGGCACCTGGTCGGCACCCTCCCCAGGGACGCCTGCGGCCGGACTCAGCTCGCCTCTGCGTCCTGTCTTCCAGGTTGGGCATTTGCAGGCTGGGCTCGGCCGCCTGTGAGGGTCTCGGCGCTGTGCTCCAGGTCAACCCCCACCTTCAGGAGCTGGATCTGAGTTTCAATGACCTGGGGGACGGGGGCATGTGGCCGCTGTGCGAGGGGCTGGGACACCCCACCTGCAGACTGCAGAAACTGTGGTGAGCCCTGGGGGTCGGGACTGTGGCCTGGCGGGGGCGGGGGGGCGCGTCTCTGCCCCTGTGCTTCTGTGGGAGGGACGTGGCGCCCCTGCTCTGGAAGACCGCGGGAGCCCAGAGCCGGGACAAAGCCTGCAGGCAGCTCGGGCAGTAATTGATTCTCTGCGGGATGCAAGCACAAATGCCTCACTTTCCCTTCCATCGTTGCCTGTAAACATTTTCTGTAAACTTCCCCTTTTCCGCTGACATTTACTTGGGCAGATTCTTGGCTTCTCAGTGACCTTTATATAATAAAAACTCAATCTGTTCCAGTGTGAATTTCAGTCAAATGTGAATTGTCACTCCTCCTCCTCCTCTGTCCCCAGAACCTGCCTGGCTCCCGTCCTGAGAGACTATTTCTATTGTGGTCATTTCTGAGCCTCTTGCTTATCTGGTGGCCTGGGTAGGTGGGCATCAGGATGGGTGCTCAGGGGCAGCACTTCCCTACCCCCCATCTGGCAGGCACCTCGCAGGGCACCATGAGCCTGTTCCTACAAGGGCCCTCCCTCTGGAGGTACGTGCCCGGGTCGGCCTCCTCGCACACCCCCTCCGCAGGCCGCTCCCCGATCTTCTCCTGACCCTCCTGCACCTGCGGTGTGGGTGGGTATTCGTCACCAAGCTGTTTTTCCTCTCTTCCTCTGAGAGCCCCGAGCTGTTGTCTTGTACCTCGCTTGGGGAGCTGGCTTCGCTCCCGTCACAGCCTCAGCCAAACTAAGATTAAAATATTTCCATTTAAAATCCCTGCTGTGATACTACTTCTTTCGAAGCTTGCTGTGAGGACCAAAGGAACTAAATGTAAAGCCCTTAGCAAGGTGCTCAGTGCACAGTTGTTCCTCAGTAGATGCTACCTGTTTTTATTGTTACTGTAAAGGCAAGGGATGCAGGAAAGAGACACAGCGGGGGGCAGAGAGGAAACGGGAGAACCGGAGGGCGCACTGTTTGGGCAGGTGGCAGCCCAGTTCATACATGCTCCAAAAAAAGTGAGACAGAGACTATTGACTTATGTAACTGACATTGGCTTCAGGCATGGCTGGATCTAGGCGTTTGGATTCTTGCTCTCCATTATCTTCCCCACTTGTTGCTGTATTGGTTCTTTTATCAGGTAAGTTTAACCTTGATCCTGCTTGTTGACAAGATACAACTTCTGGGCGCCTGGGTGGCTCTGTTGGTTGAGCATCTGACTTCGACTCAGGTCACGATCTCACGGTTTGTGAGTTTGAGCCCCTCATCAGACCTGTGCTGACAGCTCAGAGCATGGAGCCTGCTTCGGATTCTGTGTCTCCCTCTCTCTCTGTTCTTCTTCTGCTCATATTCTGTCTCTCTCAAAAAATAAAGATTAAAAAAAAAAAACTTTTCAAAACATACAACTTCTTGCCAGGTCTAAGTTCTGAATAAAACCTCACTGGTTTTGGTTGGGTCTTGTGTCCAATTGAAACCACTCATGGTGACGTGGAGACATGGAAACCAATTGGCTTAGGCCTGGATCCTGAGCTCAAGGGCAGCGTGAGCCCCAGATGGACTGAGACTGGGGTTTCAATTACAAATTGGGATCGAAGTACCAGAAAGGGAAATGGACACTTCACATAAAACCAATGGGAATCCCATAGATGGAAGTGTGCATTGAGAAGCATCCTCAAATGCCACCCTTAACTCTTTTCCTGCACCACCTTGGCCTTAACCTGGACTGGTCGGGTTCCACTCTGCTCTCTCTGAAATCGGCCCCCTGAAAGCATCACCCTGAATCCCTTTGAAGACACTTCTCCCAAAATAGCCCCTTCTGTTGCTTCAACCACTCTGTCTTCTGCAGGCTGGATAGCTGTGGCCTCACGGCCAAAGCCTGTGAGGACCTTGCTTCCGCCCTGGGCGTCAGCCAGACCCTGACGGAGCTGTATCTGACCAACAACGCCCTGGGGAACTCGGGGGTCAGGCTGCTGTGCAAAGGGCTGAGTCCTCCTGGCTGCAAACTTCGCGTCCTCTGGTGAGAGACAGGGGGCTCTGGTTCCGTAGGAGCTGGGGCATGGGGCTCGGAGTCGGGGGTGAGGATTGGTCATGGAGACCCCCAGGTGGGATGGACAAGTGGGCTAGAAGATGTGGTAATGTTCCCTTCATGCACCAGCGCATGCAGGGAGTGTGCAGCGGGGAGGAGGCCGCCCCGGGGTCCAGGCAGATGTCTGTGCTGCTGGCCAGCTGTGTGACTCTGGGGGATTCACGGACGGCCGAGTTCCTAACCTTGTAGCTTAGAGGGAATGAGAGGACCCTGTGAGGCCTCCGGTTCTGATTGTCACATGAGGCTTGTGATGTATTTCTGCAAATCACCCAGCCTCTTAGCTCCTCAGTGTCCCCCCAGCTGTAGGAGGGAAACCCAGCTGCTTCTTAAAGATGACCAGTTACGCCAGTGAACACAGGTTAGGGGCTTGGGATGGTGTGTAGCTGCCCGGCCCAGCCTGTCTCCCCATGGGAGTTGGTTTCCAACCAAGGACTGGGTGATGGAATCGTGTTAACAAGGCGGGACGCCTGAGAGATCTGGCGTTATCATCGAATGCCGCGGCCACGGCCTGGAATACTCTTCCCCACTGTGTGTCCTCAGGTTATTTGGAATGGACTTGAATAAGACGACCCACAGAAGGCTGGACGCGCTTCGGGGAACAAAGCCTCACCTGGACATTGGCTGCTGATGGATCTAGGCCTCCTCTTGAAGTCAGGACAGAGGAAGACCATCCCAGGAACCTGCTGCTGGGCGGTCATGAGCAGGCTCCATGTAGGAGACAAACTCCCAAGCAGCACAAACTCTTCCTGCTTGGGGGTGGCGCCATCAAGGCGTAGTGGTTTGGGGGTTGCTAGTGTCCTGGACAGAACCTGCTCAGTAGAGGGGTTCTTGTGGCCCCCCCCCAGGACACTCAGCAATTCAGGATTCTCCTAATGCCAGCGGTCCATCCTGCAGCAGGAGTCAGCCCCCTACAGCAAGTGTGCAGCTGAAATGGTATTTGCAGGAAAGTGGAGCCTTGTTCTCGAGGGATTAGTGGTGCCATGAGGGTGCTAGACATTCTCAGCAGGCGGGCGGTGTGCCGGAGAATGCTGGCCAGGTCAGCAGCCCCGCCCTCCACACCCCTGCCGGCTGGCCGGTGACCTGTCCCCTGCTGTGGAGGACATGGGCAAAACCAGACTTTCCTGGTTGGGGCTTGGAGATAGGGAGGCTCAGCCCAGCCAGTGATTGGCCAGCAGGAAAGCCCAGGGCGCCTTGAGCATGCTGAACTGAAGCCGGAAGTGAAGTCTGCAAAGACTGGAATGTATCGGGGAGCACAGGGAGCTTGTAGGGGTAACAGGGACCCTGGAGCCCATGGAAATCTGGAAAAGGAAATTCAGACTCTGCAGACATTCCTGTGACATCAAGGTCTCATTGGCATCTGGCTCTTGAAAGGAGTACCCTCAACCTACCTTGGCTTCCAGCCCCCCAAACCCAGAAAGCATGCCCCAGGCTCTTTGCTGAAGCCTCAAGGGGAAACCTGGCCCACTCGTACCCAGATCCTAGGGGGCCTGAGGACCAGAACATTTGTGGGCTCATCTTGGGGAGTAGATGAAGGGTGGAAGGTGTGGAGGGGGGGGGTACCCTGGTCTGATAAGGTTTAGGATGCCAGGGGTCAAGAAATCTCCCAGGATGTGAACTTATTTTGGGTACAGCCCTGCCTTGGTTTGGGAGCCTCACAGGGCACATCCCTCCTGGGACACAGCTGTTTCAAGTGGAGGCCTCTGGAACATTTCTGAATAAAGACCTTAAAACCCGCGACCAAGCTGGTGTGCTTGCTTGGCTCGGCAAACTCACTAAGGACTGTAACTTGGGCCTTTATCTCCAGGGTACAGTCCCCAGGATTCTTTGTCAATGTGCATTTAACTTTGGCTTTGCCTCTAGCCAACCTGAGCAGAAGATACATGACCAGGGTCCCTTACACTCCGGGCCACTTGGGGGCCCCATAGGTTTCTAATGTTCTACCAAACCCATGTTAAAGTCAAAGATTTTTTTCTATGGGGGAGCCGAGCCCCTCCATCCCACATTGCTGAAAAGCCAAGGGCCCCCTTTTAAATAAAGTCAAACCCACACAAAGTCATGGTTATTTTATTGAACTCACCATTGAGAGGCAAGGTCAAAAATGGGGCTGGGCTCAAAAGAAAGTACAACTTAATGTAGAATAAAGGTGGTTAAGGCATTTATAGGTCAGGGAAAACTGGTCCTTGGCTTACTACAAAAAGATTTTCCTATGGACTGAAGGCTGTACAGCATTCCAGGAGAGCAGAGGAATGGCTGGTGGTGGGTGGAGGCCTCTCTGCAAGAGGGCTCAGGTCCAGGACAGGACGGCTGGGAAGAAGTCAGGTTAGTACATCCACCGAGCACTTGCATTCTGGTTTCTAGGAAGTTGAGGATTTCCTCAGACAAGGACACACAAAAATGGGAGCACTTTCCAGACAGAGGACGGGAAGTGCCCCCATTTTGTGTATCCCAGTCTGAGCACCGCTAAGGACTTAGGACTAGCCGGCGGCACAGAGACGCACCTAGAAACAGGAGTAAGGTTAGGACTACGAATGCATTAGTTGCACACCTTGCAAAGCCAAATGTAGTTCCCAGCCCATTCCTAGAGTCCCCAAACCCCCACTTCCCACGGAGACCTCAAGCAGTGGATACAGGAAGTGAAGTCTGAGTAAGATGCAGACTCGTTGCTGGTGCCCACCAGTGACACCCAAATATAGTAGCACTTTTCGCCGATTTGTCTGAAGAGTGCTTCCACATTTGAGTACCACGAGAGAGCAGACCATTGCCCTGAGGAAGCCCGGATTGGGCTCACCCATCCCTCGGCTCCTCCAAGTAGACCTTCCCAATCGGTGACACTCAAAAAATGGCGGCACTTTCCTACTTAGAACAGAAAGTGCCCCCACAGTTTGAGTGCCACAGACTGTGTTAAGGACCGCCAGCCGCTGCAACTTACCAAGCAAAAGATGCTTGCAGGATGGGACTAACCCCACCTCAACCCTCAACCCTTAAGGTCTGGGGAGCAGGACCCTAAAGTGAACAAATTTGATTAGAGACTCGCGCAACACACCAGGTCAGCACAGAAACAGCTCATGTTAGGAAACCGTGATGTACCCACCACTGCAGGCCAAGAATGCTAACTGTGGCGGTGGGGCACTCACCATGGGAGCTGGGGGGTGATATTTAGACTCCCCTGTGGATGGTTGGAAAGAGCGGGTTATCTAGGAGGCCACCTCCACTCTAAATGCCCTTGGGAGAGCCCCAATCACACCCAGAGGGCACCCGTACCGAGCCCCATGCACGAGCCCCACGCACGGAAGTTTGGGGTCTGGGGGATTCGGGGCCAATCAATGGGCAGGGGGAAAGCCACCAGTGAGTCAGTGAGTGCAGGGAGGATGCAGGAAGAGAATTCTCCCCAAGATGGGAGCTAGGAGGAAAAGGGGGAGGGGGGAAAGGGTGAAAAGGTGGGAAGGAGGCAGCAGATACTCACAGAGAGAACCGCAGATGGGATGCCCCAAGTCTCAGGCAGAGAGGTCTGGGCTGCCGGGCTCTTATATAAGCCGAAGGCTCACTCCCCTCTCCTTCTCCGCCCAGACCCACCGAAGCCCCTCTGATTGGAGCTGGTCTGGGTCAGACACACCCTCACCTATTTTTTAAACTACTTACTCTTTTGTTTGGGTCTTCACCAGAACCTAGGGAAATGCAAACAAAGTCCCCAAAGGAAAGTAATTCCACTTCCTGGGAATTCCTGGCCATCAGTCATTCCTTCAGCAAAGATTTCAGTGTTCTTTTACGTATTATATTTATTGATCTTCTGGGACTTACCAGGCAGCTTGCTAGCTCCAAGGGTAAAAAAGAGATGAATGAAGAAGACTGTGGGTTTTTATCGCCTTAGAACAGTGGTTTCCAACCAGGGGTGGGGTTTCCCCCCCAGGGGATAATTGGCTAGGTCAGGAGACAGTTCTGGTTGTGGAAGCTGGGGCGGGGGGCAGGGTGCTCTGAGCATTTAGCACCTGGGGGCCAGGGCTGCTGGTCAGTCGCCTCTCCTCCCCTGCGGACAGCCCCCCTCGGTGAGAAGGGCTCCTGGCCCAAAGTGTGAGTAACACCAATAGCAATAGAGTGATCGGCAGGAAAAAAAAAAAGAGCCTTCCCCCCAAAACGAGCAAACAAACAATTGCTACTATTTCATCTCAATGTTGCTGCATATTCCTATAAATTTAGATGATGGGAGCACACTTCCCTGTTCTTTAAATCCCATACAAAGCATTTAAAACGTTTTAGGGGTGCCTGGCAGGCTCGGTCGGTGGAGCGTGCGAGTCTGGGTCCCGGGGTTGTGAGATCATGCCCCATGTTCAGGATGATTACTTACGGATTAAAAAATTTAATTTAAAAAAAAAGCCTATGTTTTAACCACCAATTTTAGAGCACAACTTTTCAACACGTTCTGATCCCTTTTAAAAGTGTGCAGTATTTTCACTGGATTCATGCATCTGCCTGACCTGTGAGGCCTTCTTGGAATTCTCCCCTTGGCAAATCTCGGAGGTGTGCCCCAGGCCCCTGGGACTTGCAAAGGGAGGTTGGGGGTATTAAAATACGTAAATCAAACAATGGAAAAATCGATAGAATGTTTTGATAGCGGAAGGGCAATACAGACTATGTTTTTATCATAATTTCCTTCACGAAACCCCTACTGTTAGACATTTTTAAGTTTTTAAATTTTGGGTTAATTTTTTTTCAAGTAGGCTCCATGCCCAATGTGGGGCTTGAACTACGACCCCCAGATCAAGAGTCACACGCTCTACCGACTGAGCCAACCAGCTGCCCCCAGAATGAAGGATAATTTCCGAGTTGATCCGAAACATTTGTGAGAGCAGCTCTAACAAGAGCTCAGGCATTTCTGAATTCCTCTACGAATCCCTGCTAACCCTTCACGCACTGTGGGTACTTCACCGGCGGGACAATGGAGGTGCGGTGATTTGCGCAGGAAAACGAGGGACAGAAGGCAGGAAAAGTGTAATGGGGCCCGAGTTTAGAAGCCCAGGCTCTGAACGCTCGCTTTGGTCCTCAGCTTGCTGGAGGGCAGTGGACAGATCCAGGCACGTGTTCCAGATTCAGATCTAAACCGGGTCTCCCTCTGCACCCAGACCTGGGCGCCTGGACCTTCAGGTGGCTCCCCAAACTCCCCAAGCTCCTCCCCATCACCTCGCCTAGTCTTGGCCATTTTCTGGGCTTCCTCTTCCCGCCCTTGACCTCCCCACGCAGCACATTTCATCCTTGACCCCATCCTAAACCCCTCCTCCTAGGGGGCTCCCCCAAGGGCTACACAGATAGCACCTATACCCTTTTTGACTTCATGCTCCCCACGCCTAACATTTCTGATCCTTTCTCTAATAACGGGCTTACTCCTTCTCAGGTATTTGCCACAGGTGTCTTATTTGCCTCTGGTGCTTAGGTCCTGGGGAACAAGGGCTGGTCTGTCTTATTCACCCGTGCCCCCCCCCCCCCACAATCCCCACACTCAATCCTGGGTGTGTCACAAAGATGCAGTGAGCATTCCCCCCGCCCGCCCCAGGGCGATAAATGTTGTTAATGCAATTGAACTTAAGGAACATTAAACAAAGACCATATTCGAAAATGATTTTAAGTCAGTTGATAGTAAAAGGCCCACTGTGATTATTTGCGGTGAGACAGGGCAGGACATGAGCTCCTAAATGCCTCCCTCCCATTTGCAGATTCCATACTGGGTCTAACCTCTCCTGTTTCCACAACTTAACATGGCTGCTTAAAGTCTCATCAAGTTAGCATCGTTCTTAGCTATCTTTCCCCACAATGTATGACTTCCTATCCACCCCCCCAGCTTTGTTGATTTAAACTCTTACATTAATATTTTAAAGGCTTTTTTAAACTTTTTTTTTTTCTTTGATTCCTGATGGAAAGAAATTCCAGAGATTTCAGACAGGAGATCTGATAGCCTGAGGTGGTTGGGGCGGGGATGGGGGGTGGTGGAAGGGGGTTTTGCCTAATCAGGAATTCTTCCTGCAGAATTGCAAGATCTTCATTTGCAAATCACTAGACCTTGTTGACATGACAATAGGCCTGGCCGCTCCATGCCCTCCACCCAGTCCTCGGCATTATCGGGCTGGTTTCCATACCAATGAGAAAAGATTCTTTTGTGAAGATCCTAACAGTTTTTGAAAACCTTTCACATAGTTATTGTTTCCTCTAATCCCATATTCTATCATCTGCATTTACCTGCAGCCCCGGGGTGGAGAAGGTTGATAATCCTATTTACGACGTTAAGAGAATCCTGCCATTTTTATCTAAATTTGCTGCTTTGGGGCCGGGTTTGGGAGAAAACCTTGTGGGGAAGAATTCTTTCCTGACTAGCTGAGGTGGTTCTCAAGGGCACTGTAAGGGCACCTCTGGTGCCTCCTCTGTTTACCTGTGCGCCCAATACCTCCAAGGCTCCATACACATCGTTTAATACATTCCGAGACTTAAGGTGGGTTGGCGATAAAATGGTAAGTAAAAACACACACACACACACACACAAAGAAAGGCCTGACCTGCCCAGAGTTTGCATCCTCGCTGGGAAGAGAGTTGGCAAAAGAGCCTTGTAAACCAAAAAAGCACGCAGTTATGTTAGGAAGTCACACGGAAAAGAAACAGAGAAGTCTGCGACAGTGCACGCACAAACACGTAAGGGTCTGTGTGTCTAGACTTTTCTTTTTAAAAAAAAATTTTTTTTAAATGTTTTATTTATTTCTAGGAGAGAGAGAGAGAGAGAGAGAGAGAGAGACAGCGTGAGCAGGGGAGGGTCAGAGAGAGAGAGGGAGTCACAGACTGAAACAGGCTCCAGGCTCTGAGCTGGCAGTCAGCACAGAGCCCGACGCGGGGCCCGAACCCACGAACCGCGAGATCATGACCTAAGCGAAAGTCGGACGCTCAACCGACTAAGCCACCCAGGCGCCCCTTGTCTAGACTTTTCTAAATGGCCTGGCCTCCCAGGCTTCACACAAGGCTGTGGATCAAATCATACCTCCTTCTGGAAGCTTCCTCCGGTTTGCTTTTCTAG